TAAAAAAAATTAATAGTGTTTATGCATTTGATTTACAAGGTATAAAATTTTTTAACTAATTAATGTACAAAAAGAAAAAATACATACAAAATAATTTCTTTATATTTAGGTGATCTATGGTATTTAGATATGAAAAATGATAATGGTAGTGTTGGTCAAGGTGAACCACCATCTGGTAAAGCACAATGTACATTTAAAATGTCAAAAGCTGATTTTCAATCAATGTTTGCTGGAAAATTAAAACCAACAGCAGCATTTATGGGTGGAAAATTAAAAATTCAAGGTAAATTTCATTCTTTCATTATATATGCTTGTCAGAGATGAAATCGGTATCAGTACGGATTTCAGATTGGTTCCATCTCTTGTGTTTGTTTTTTTTTAATTCATTAAATTCTTTTGTTTTTTTTTGCAGGCGATTTGCAAACAGCACTTAAATTAGAAAAATTACTTAATCAAATGGTTAAATCAAAACTTTAAAATGATGGTTTTGATTTTATATAAACTAATAACAAGCTTTTTTTTTCTTTTTATTAATTATCAGTGATCTTTTTTTTTATTACTTATTAAGATTATTGCTATAGAACTAGTAGAAAACAAAGCATCTAAAAAAATTTTAATATTTGGTTTTTTTTCAATGATATTCGAAATATAAGTTCTTTTTTTTTCAATCTTAGGTAACTAAGCAATAGCATACAGTTTCATTTAGATAAAAGCAGAAAGAAAATGGGAATTTCTCCTATACTTAATAGGATATTTGTCGTTTTAGTTCTTTTTTTATTTTGCTTCATGTTTTTAACATTCACCATCGGGTTCATTATGTTGTTGTCGATTGATAATATCCAAATAAAATATATCATTCATAACTTGAGAATAACTTGGTAATGAATCAGATTCAATTGTTGGACAATAAATAAAATGATTTGGATTATGATTAGTATCAGCCATTTGAACAGATTCATTTGGATGTCTTTCATTTACAACTTTTTGTCTATTACACTTAAATAATATATAAAAAAGTAAATCATGACAACGACGAACACAATAATGTAAACATAAACCAATAATAACTCCAATGATACAACCAATTATAAATAGATACATGATTTGTCGAGAAGAAAATAAGGATGGTGATGATTGTGATTGTTCATTAAGTATTGAATCAAATAGTACAAGTTGATTACATGCTAATTCTTCATTCATTTTTTGTATATCAATATTACGAAATGGTAAAGGTGTTTCACATTGACCAGTTAATGTTTGTGAAGGTTCATCGATGAGAATTAAGGTTCGATAATGTTTTAGTGAATTAAAAAGATCACTACAAGCACAATGCCAATGATTATTCACTAATTGAAATCGATCAACAAATGGACAAACATTCATTATAGTTGTTTGTAATTGTATAAATGATAGAAGGCCACGATTATCATTTAAATAAATTTGTTCTAATAAACATGAATTTAATGCTGATGTACTATTTTGAATTTTCATATAACCTATTGTATTAATACCATTTTGCGATAAATCAATAATTTGTAATGGTATTAATAACCAAATAGGTTCAATTGCTGTAAGAAAATTAAGTGAAATATTTAATGATATTAAATTATGAAATAATTGAAAATCACGATTATTTATTGATATTAAACGATTTTGTGATAAATCAAGATGATAAATATGTTTTAAATGATGCCAAAATGGTAAAATAGATAAAGATGTTATTGTATTTGAACGTAATGAAACATTTTTAAGATTAGAAAATAAATGAAAAAGATCATTTGATAAAATATATGCACCTGATTCAATCCATTCGATATGTTTTATATGTGAATAAATTGATTTATTATTTAATGGAATATTACTATCAATAAAAGATGTTTGTCGACAAAGAAGTTTTTCATCTGTTATATATTCACATGGAGTAGAAGGCACAAGTTCAGCAGTACTTGCATAAAAACCAAGAAAAATAACTATGAATAACATGATTTATTCGTAATGCCATAATCTTTGACGTTGATACTTATAGTAAAAGAAAAATTTTCTTGTTTCTTATTTTTTTTTTTTACAAAATAAAAAGTACTTTTAACTCACTTGTTTCGAATACATTCTTATTTTAACAACACATTCCTTAAAGCTCACATACTCAACATTTATTATAATGTTGTTGTTTTTTTTTTGTCAATGTAAAACGAGGGATCATTATCGTAAGATGTAACCAATAACCTTCTAAATTCGTATGGCTTTTTTATTTGAATACTCTTTCTCCTTCCTATTCTTTTTTTTTTGTCTATTATGTCATATATCCTTCAAAGGTCGTTCAATTGTGTTTAAGTCGTGTGCGTGTATATGTGTCCAGCTTGACAGTAAAGAAGAATAGAAATGCATGTACATATAGAGCTTAAACATTGTGATAAGCTAGTCAATCGAAGGAAAAGGAGGAGATTGAAATAACTCCTACACTAACCTAAAACAGAGATTCATGACATTATATTATTTAAATAAGGGATACAAATCTCTTCATAATAAAAATAAACAATTTCGAAATGAGTCTATATATATATTTTTAAATATTGACTATAGATGAAGATAACGATTTTTAAAGACATAAAACTAATATTAAGATTCAAGTTTAAATAAAAGAAAAATGAATAAATTTATTCAATAATGTTAAAAACGCAATAGTTTGTCAAGGTTAAAGAAAATTAAATATTATTTATTACGCAACGATTTAGTTTACTGTTTGATTGTATGTTGTAATATGTAGAAAGAAAAATTGTTGACTCTTTGTTTCATTCCTTGAAAAGAAAATTAATGATCCATCAGATTTCATTAGTAATGCTTATGAAAGATGGAAAGTAAATTGTCGATATTTTCTGTAAATATTTATTATCAATGGCAAATCATATTATCAGAATGATTACTATTGAAAACTATTCATATATAGATATAGACAACGTCCAATAGTTATATTTGATGGCTCTTAAAGAAAAAAGAACAGATGAAAAACATACAAATCATTATTCTTCTTGTCAATTCCGTTATAGGAGCAAGAATTCGATCAATAACATAGACAAGTCAATCGTATATAATATATGAGGGTTTGATGAATATCATATTACATATAGTGAGATTTTCTATTGGAATCTGTCTGATATCTTCTTCTTCTTAATTGTAACAGAGCAACGATCAAAAAAATATATTGATACCAATTCATTTTATCCACCTTCTTTCCAAAATTTTATTAGTAGACCCTGCTGTTTTTGTTATTATTGATACTTTTTGTTCAATATTAATCGCATCAGGCACGTACAATAAACGAATACGTAACTTTCAGATATTTGATCGACGCAAAAGAGCAAAAACGATAAATATTATATTGTCTAGTCTGACACATAAAATAATATCAAATCATAGTAGCGTGATGACTGAACTTTAATTAAATAGTTTCAGGTTCAGTTCTTTTAAATCATGATATCACAAGTAAGGCGTATTTTCAAAAATGATCGTCAAATTTATACGATAGGATATGTTTTTTGACAAGTGAGGATATCATATTACTCATGTTCAGTTTCTATTGTTAATGTAAAATCTAATGATTTAATTTCTACTGTCGAACATTTTGTCCTACAATACAACTACAAAAACTTCACATGCTAATAATAATTGTATTTTCATACTAGCTTATTAAAATACTACTGATCCCTATAGAATTCAATCAGTTCAACATATGATAGTACTACAAGCATGGAGAAAAACTCAACTGCTTTTAATTATGATGTTGTTTTCCTAGTTTCAACAAGATTCAATGGACGATACATAATCAGTTACTGATGCACAAGGTATTGGATTCAATTGTTCATATTTAGTATATACATATGCACTTGGTTGCTCAGCTAATTTTTATTTTAGTCTTAATCTTCAAATATGTTGTGATTATGTTCCAAATTCAAAACAGACACACGTCAATCATGTCGAACAAGGACTACTATGTAATATAGGTGGTGGAGGACCATGATTTCAGAATGTTGTTGATGTTAATTTTTATTGGTTATGTAACATTAGTTATAATAGCTTTACAATTTCAAATGTAGTTAATGTTATGAATGAGCTAAATATTGATGCAAATATGAAATCATTATATGAAGGTGTTAGTTCGATGTAAGAATTAAATTTCTTCGTCACCATCATAAGATTGTTTATTTTTTAAATATTATTGATCTTTTTGTCTTTTCATTTTACACATGAAAAAGACATTCTATTTTTATTGGATTATATATCTTATTCGGTTTTTTTTATAATAAATATTAGTTTACTTTGAATAATTTCCTTCCGTTCAATCTAGATGAATGAGGTACGACTAGTTCCCATCGGACAACTCCGGAAAATAGTAGGAAGTAGGAAGCAGGTATCGAGAGATTGGATTTAGTGATCAGAATTATCCAATTCCAGCTGGAATTGAACAGAGCCAGCAGCTGAATACAATCACCGGATTTCTGCTTCCCAGTGTATACCATTTTCCGGAGTTTTTCGGTTGGAAATAGCGTCTTTCTTGCAGGCTCCCCGCCAGAAATCCATGAATTCAAGTGCTGGAATCATTGATCTAAGAATTGCTTTAAATAAATATTAATTTATGTATGATACTAATTACATGATTAGTAATATCGTTTTTACCTATAATTAAAGTCAATAAAGCATAACAAAAAAACAAAATATTGCCGACTATTCCAAATATACTTTACACACAATTTTGTTTTTATTTCTATAATAATTTCGAAATAATATCTTATATTTGTCGTAAACTACAGCTATTCATAATTTCGTCAAACTCAATAATATTTATATGGATCAAGAGTTTTTTTAAATATTTGTGACAAAAATATGTATACTTATTTCTGTATTTTCTTAAGTTCAATTTTTTTAACTATCTACTAGATTTGAGTGACATCTATTTTACTTTTTCAAATCAATTGGTTCTTCCACTCGACCTCATCTAGTGACACATGTTAGGTGGGTTGATTTTTTTCATTTATTTTTGAGTATTTCATATTTACTTGATTTTACTAATAAGGCACAAAAGAAAAAGAAAACAATGATCTCATATATTTCTAGATATGTCTCAACAACACATGGCAAAACAACGTTTAGTCTATGCGATTTTAAAATTTCTCGATGGAGAAATACAAGCTGAATTAGATAATCCTGAACGACGTGAGAGTATGGAAGGTAATATTATCGATATGACTTATACAAAAAAAAAACAGAAAAAGATTTGATTTCTATTGGAATACTGCTATTTTTTATTTTAGTTGCTGTTCAATGTCTTGAAACAGCATATGACGTATCTCTTGCAAATACACAAAATAATTCAACATATGGTCCACCTGTAGATCTTTTATCACTTGTATCCGAAACTCCAACGACAACGACAACAACGACAACTCATACTGCAACGTTTCCATCATGGCTTAGTGCTAATGAACAGCCGGTAAAAAAATCTTTTATGTTATATCAAATTTATAAATAAAAACTTTTCTGCTTTTTCTTTTTCTTTAAAGTCAATGAGTGTACCATTAACAGATGATATGCGACAACAAGCAGATAAATTAAAAAATGAAGGAAATGAATTTGTTAAACAAGAAAAATATCGAGAAGCATTAGAAGCATATAATGCAGCTATTAAAATTGATGGTAATAATGCCATTTATTATTGTAATCGGTAAGTTATTGTTCAAATGATTATTTCAATATCGTAGAGTTTTCTTTTGTAGTGCTGCTGCACATAATAAATTAAATAATAATGATCAAGCATTAAGTGATTGTTTTCGTTCAATTGAAATTGATCCTAATTACAGTAAAGCCTATGGACGACTTGGGTATATTAAAAATTTTGTGTTGTTTTGTTATTAGAAAATTAATTAATAAAAAATTTCTTTTAGTGTTATTTATCTTTCATTAGATAAAGTACATGAAGCACTTGATGCTTATAAAAAAGCTCATGCATTAGAACCAAATAATGAGAATTATAAACAATCAATTAAAATTTGTGAAGATCGATTGAATGGTGCATCTGGTGGTAGTGCTGCTCCAGCTGGTGTATGTTAATAATTAAATTTTTATTATCAATTACATGTTTGTGTGTTTTTATTTATTTAGGATCCTAATCTTCAATCAATGTTTGGTTCATTATTAGGTGGTATGGGTGGTCCTGGTGCAGCCGGGGGACCTGATATGATGTCATTTTTTAATAATCCTTCATTGATGAATATGGTTTGTTTTTTTTTGTAGAAATAGAAATGTTCAATTTATCTTTTTTTTTGTGTTAATCTATAGGCAATGCAATTTGTTCAAAATCCTCAAGTTCAGGGATTGTAAGAAATTTTGTTATTAAAATTGAAACATTTTGAATATCATTTGGATTGTTTTTTTTATAGAATGGCTAATTTAGTAACAAATTTAGGAGCACAAGAAGGTGGTGAAGTCGGTATACAAACTCTGTTACAAACGTATGATAGAACACAATAATAAAAAAAAAAGAATTTTTTTCTTATTTTCAGAGGTCAACGTATGGCTTCGGAATTATCAGCTAATAATCCTGATCTCATCGAATCTATTCGACGCAGCATGGGTAATCGAACACAACCTGATGGAAATAATGATTCAGGAGTTGACAATAATTCCGATGGATCATCAAGTATATTGAATAATGTTATTAAAAAATTGTACATCTAGTTTTGTTTTTTGCATAGATCATAATAATAGCTCAGATCAAAACAATCCATCATCATCATAGAAGCAAAACTATTATTAATTATTATCGATATGGATCTGTTTACGGCATTTCTATTTACAATTCGTGTGTGTGTAAACAATACATCATTTTTGTTTTTGTTTTTCTTCTTATTCACTGATTATTTCATCGTATTCATATACATACAAAACAATGTGTCTACCCTTTTGTTTTCTTGATTATTTAAAGTTGTCTTTTCTTTAAAGAAAAAAAAAAGATACAAATATGCACACGATAAAAATATTTAAGTTAATTTTGCATAATAAGCCATTGATGCAATACCACACATATTACTTTTATCTTTTACTAAACGAAGATAACCATTTTCACCCCATTTTTGTCCCCAAGAATTTTTTATAATCCAATAAGACATTCTAAGTGTACTATCATAACCATAACCAACAACAACCATAGCATGATCCATATCTTGTCGAGCAGTTGGACAATTACTTATACTAAGTACACCAGCTTTATAAAACATAAATAATTGTGAATCAGCATCAAGACCAATAAATAAAGGTCCATTATTAACCAATGCTTCTGCCATTGTTTTTTCATCACTTTCTGGAATAGGTTTATATTGAACATTACCAAGATTTATTTCATTAATTCCAGTTGTTTTACATGTTTGTTTTCTTCCTGCATATGGATAAGATGCAAGTGTAGCTAATTTATTACCTTGTCCTGATATATAACGAATACTTGGCGGAAAATTTCCACCACTACAACCATTATTACCATTACTTGAACAATCCGTTATTTGTTGTGGACTTAATTCAATAACAGTTTTTGAATTTGTTTTTATAGCATAAAGTGATTCTAATACTGCAGCAGTAGCAAATGCATAACAACATCCACATTTAAGTTGATCTTTAATACCACTAACAACATTTTTACTACGCCAATCAAATGAACTAGTTGGTTGTGGACTAACATTATTATTATTATTATTATTATTATTATTATTTGAATCTGGATTAACTAAATTCCAAAGCCAATTAGAAAATCCACGTCTGTCATTATATTTTTCATGATGTTTTCTATAAATCATATTTCGTTTTAATCGTCGTAAATAATAATGATGTTGATAAAGTTTATTTAAACTACGACGAACTGAATCTTCATAGTTGTTACCATCATAAGACATATGTCGCCGTAAATTAGTTGATGGAATAAGACCTTTTTTTAATGAATTAAATTCTTCTATTGTCCAATCAGCAAATTCATTTAATTCTAATTGAAATGTACGTAATTTTTCTAGATTTGATTCAAGAACATATCTAAGATGATTTTGAAATATACGAAAACGTTGTTTTTCTTCATCTATAACAACAAGAATAACAAAAACAAATTCTCAAAAACAAATAAATTTGTTTATCTTAAACTAACCAAGTGATGAATAAGCACGGCCATATTTTGATTTAAAATAAGACCATATACGATTAACAGTTGAATCATTAAGACTTAAAATACCATTTATTTTAAATTTAGCAGCATCAACAAAATTATCAATATAATCTTGAAGAGATAAACCATCAAATAAACCTTGAGTAGGTTTGCAAAGACCAAATAGACAAATAGCTGAGATTAGAAACCAATGTAACTTCATCTGTAGTTGTGAAAAAAAAAATCAAATGATGAATAATCAAAAACGACAACGATAATTTATATTTCATATTGCTACTTAATAGCTCTTGTGCCAATATGTACATGTATATTGAGATGGATTTTTTTCCTCTCTATTCTTCTCTCTCGTTTTATTTTCTTGTCAACCAGGTATGTTTTTTATGTTTAACTATGAAGTATCAAGTTAATCAAACACTTTGGATTAGTTTGCTCCAAAAAATATACCAAGAAACACAAAAATACTACCTGATTTTCGTTAATATATATGTAACCTATCAAATAAAAACTAAGAACAAGTAATAGCATCTGAAATATGAGTGTAGAGGATATGTTAAAAAATGATTATTCATATTTTATGAAGGTCATAAATAGTCTTGCTGTGAATGATATTTATATTGTAAGTATAATAATTTTTTATATCCATCATTGAAGGATACCATTGACTGAAAAATATTGACAATTATGTTAGGATATTTAGTCTATATGTGGTCTGTTATTTACGATTAAGGTTTTTATATTTTTATGAATAGCAACATGTATTTTCAATAAATAGAATAGAAAATTTTAAAAAAATTAAAATTAGATCTAGACACGATAAATTTATCTAGTAGTTCGTTAAATAGAATGATGTATGTATGTCTAGATGAATGAATCAGCATGATATTATTAAAACATATAGGAAGTTGAGTTCTTTAGATTCTTAGTGGCAATCATTTTTTTTTTCAAGATGTGATTGTGGAACATGCTTCTTAATCGATACCATCTGAGTCAACAATATGTTATACATGCTCCTCTACATTTTTTTCAGTTGCGGTATATTATTGCAGACATTATCTTTGGTACGATGTGTTTACTGTTAATACTGCTCAGCATCGTTATCATCAATCATATTCATTTTTTGATATTTGAGTTATTACTCTATAGATATTTTCTTTCTCATTTTCATCGCGTTGTTATACACACATTATAATAATACCTAACAGTTGTATATGTCAAATATCTCTTCCAGCTATATACGGGCTTATGATGGTTGCCATTAGTGTATATTTTACTCTCCTTCTTTTTATTATCTTTATATATAGTGTTATTTCACAATATCATGAAGAACAAAACTTGAATAAAATATTGTTGAAGCTCAATGATTGTGTTGAATGTTAGCGATGTTAAGGGAACCCCTGCCTCTCCCTCTTTTTTGACACTTGCTGGTTCTCGAAGACCGTACAACCGATCAAGCTGAAATTTTTAGCACAGACAGAGCACTAAAAATAAAGAGATACGTGTTCGAAGAAAAAAAATTGAGATAAGTTTTTGTGGGGTTTTCAGGAAAATTCTGGTTTTCCAGAGGTCCGCATCCTGACACATTACGACTCCCCCTTAAAGTTTGTCCGATTGGGCTGAAATTTTGTTTATCGATGCCTAATACTATTCCTCAGAGGTAAATTTAAGGATTTTCAAAAATCTCACTTTCGTTTTTTTTATGGGAGAAATACGCCAGGATTTGAGTTTGTGCTTTGGGTCTTGACTTTCGCGACCCTGTAACTCTGAGTAGGAACATCAAAAATGAAAACGCTTGATTTTACCTCTGGAGAATACTTCAAAGTATTAGTGGTAAAATTTCCAGCTCGATCGGACAAACTAAAAAGGGGATCGTAAGCAGTCAAGATTTAGAAAATCACTGTTTTACAAAACGCTAAGTAAAAGAAAAAAATTTACATACGATTACTATGAAAACAAAAATTTTCTCGATCTAATAACTACGTAAAAGTAAAATATTTAGAGTCGAATAATGTCTTTAGTTGCATTGGGCACTTCAGGCTATCGTATCTTAGGCTCAGCTCGACATCAAGTTTTTGGTCACTAAAGAGGGGGGGATACCCTTAAGACGTTTCGCTATTTCTGTTCTTATTCTGTTTGTAATGAAACTCTCTTATGTCATCTTTTGTAAAATACGGTCTAAAATGAATGCTGCAATAGATAGGGTAGACATTTGTATCCTCGTCCCTGTGCCAGACAGACTGTAGCGGACGTTGTTAATATGCAATCAGAGATCATATCTCAATAACATCATGTTATAGTATATAAACTACTTCCTTATTACATTTATAGAAGACTAAATATAAGGATAGTAAAGAAATGTGTCTCAAAATAGATAGAATAAAGTAATCTCCTTATGATTAGCAACAGCAACTACATCCCGCTTCACATTTTAATTCCTCAAGGATTACGCTAATAGTTTTTTAAAATTTATGCTCGATTTATAACTCTGATATATCCATACGCACAACATATTACTACTGCTTTGTTCTTGAAAGTCAAACTATTATCATGGTTTTTAACATAATTACTATCGAACATGTTCGGCAAAAATTGATTTTTCTTATATGATGTCAACTCATATGACAGATTCAATGGATTACAACAATTCAATTTCGCCAATAACAGACCAACAATTACTCCTAATAAAGTTTCTATTGTAAAGTTTCACTGATAAAAATTAAAATTTGTAGAAAATTTACATATTGTTCATGTATTTCTATTTTTTTTTCAATAAATAATTCTTTTTTATATTTGATTTTAAGAATATAATGTATATGTATAACGAAGATAAGAGATAATCATAAATTCAACAATAAACTTTTATTAGCAAAACTTTTTAATTATCAAGTTTAGAATCCGACTTATTTAAAATCTTGAACATCTTTCGGAAAACATAATATAAAATACTTCGAATTTCTTTATTCATTAGAATTTATCTTATAAGCTCTCATTATGAGTTAGTGGTAGAAATAATAAAGAGTAAATAAAATATAAAAAAAAAACAAATATATTTTCTATATTAACTTAAATTTTATTCGTGTCAAATGCAGGAAATTAGATTAACATATAGATAATTTTTATCAAGCATTCATGTCATGTATCTGCTATGGTCACATCCTCTCCAATTATCATATATATGCATGAGATAAGTATATTCTTGGAAAAAACCAGATTCCTTCTATTTTTAAACAAAAAATTCTCTTTGTTCGTACTTGATTTTACTATAGAAGCTTTGATGTAGTTTTCTTTCGATCAAAATTAACTGAATTTGAATGATGACGCCTACTACTTCTATTTCATCTCTAATAAATGTGTTTAAAAGTGATATGTGAATGCTACTTAATAATAATCACATTGATTCGATTATAGTACAAGAATCATGAACAACTTATACTACAAAGACACATATAGCAAGCGTGTTATCAAAGCACTCTATCTTTATTGATGTTGATTTCAATATAAAATCAAATTATTCACATAATATTCTAATACATTCCTATCTATATGTAATATCATATATGTAAATAGAATACAAAAAAATAAGAGTCAAACTTTTTCGC